TCCGCTACAGACCAGATCGTGAAATCTGATCCGCTACAGACCAGATCATGAAATCTGATCCGCATCAAAACACCAGAACATTTGACCAAGACGGTTTGAACTTTAACTTCACGACTGTTCACGTTCCTCAGGGAATCAAACAGCTGATTTAACGAAAACACTACTTTTAAATGTTTTATCCACAAAACAACTAATCAGTCTTTTAGACTCAACCTGAAATAAAACGATCTAATTTAAATTATTTTTTATTTTAATACTTTAAGGGTTTTTGTTTAAAAACCACACTGCAGTTTTTTGAAACGGACAAAATATTTATTTGACTGATATTTAGACGTTGGAGTTTAAAAATCAAACCTGTCCAGGTGACCTCTCTCCAGCCGTGCACGCGTTTCATTCTGGGTGTGTGTGTTTTCAGGAGCTGCTGGGTGTGCTTTGCGACGGACGAGGACGATCGCACGGCGGAGTGGGTGCGGCCGTGTCGGTGCCGCGGCTCAACCAAGTGGGTCCACCAGGCGTGCCTGCAGCGCTGGGTGGACGAGAAGCAGCGGGGCAACAGCACGGCGCGAGTGGCCTGCCCACAATGCAATGCAGAGTACCTCATCGTGTTCCCCAAACTAGGTGCGCTCCAGTTCACGTGTCACACGGACCTGAGCAGAAACATGGAAGAATTCAAATGAGGCGAGACGAAACACGACCGCAAGAACAAAAGATGGTTCTTCTTCTCATTCACTTCTCATTAACTTAAAAACACGTGTTTATTTATAAAATATTATATTTACGAGATTTCTCCCACACCTGCCTAAAACCTTTGCACACGGCTGTATAAAGTTTTACATTTTTTATAAACAAACAAAAAGGGTTTTATTCTAGAAGTTATTTTTGCTGCTCAGCTGATTCACTTTTTAATAATTTCACCGATAATCAACAAACGGCTCATTTTTATAATTAGAAACTCATTTAAACACTTATTCTAGCTTTTAGCTGCTGTTTGGCTAGTTTTAGTTTAGCTTATGTTTAGCTGGTTTTAGCTTTTAGCTTATGTTTAGCTG